ACTTATTTTTGTATTTGTATTCTGCAGCTTTACTGAATTTGCTTATCTGTTCTAATAGTTTTTTGGTAGAGTCTTTAGGGTTTTCCAAATATAAGATCATATCATGTGCAAACAAAGATAATCTGACTTCTTCCTTTCCAAGATGTCCTTTGTCACGTCTGATTGCTCTAACTACAATTTCCGCAAACATTACTTTGTACTACTATGAATAGTATCATTAAGCACAGCCACGCCCATTTATCTACCTTTTGTCTATGGCTGCTACAGTGGCATAATTCAGTAGTTGCAACAAGAGGTCATATGGCTTACAAAGCCTGAAATAATTACAATCTGGCCCTTTACAGGAAAAGAAGTTTGCCTACTTCTAGCTTAAACCAAATTCTATTCTCCCTTCGGTACTGATCAGTCTCTCCTAAAACAGTATTTTATATTTTCTTTTTTTTTTTTTTTTTTTTCAAGGGAGTAAATTTTTCTGTATAAAATTTTCTTAGAAAAGAGTAAGGGGGTAGGATGTTTTGATAGGCAACAAATGTGTGTTTGTGGGGTGGGAGAGGGTGAAGACACTGTTTGAGATTCAAGCACATTTTGAATGAATAATACACCTTTAGTATTGTAAAAAGCTAATTCCCCAAATATCGTCAATACAACTTGTTGATAAGGCAGAGCTGACTTTATTGATTATGGTGGTAAGGAAAAGTACCACTTCACAAATGTTTGGCAGTGTCTGTGAGAGGAGCTGTGAAGATTAGCTCAGAATTTATTAAGAATTGGAAGTTTGACTGACGCAGGTACAGAAAACCAAATACCGAAAGTTTTCGATGTGGGAACTGAACAATGAGAACACATGGACACAGGGAGGAGAACAACACACATTGGGCCCTGTTTGGAATGTAGCAGTGGGGAGGGAGAGCATAAAGAAAAATAAGTAATGCAAGTGAGGCTTGATACCTAGGTGATGGGTGGCTAGGTGTAGCAAACACCATGGCACATGCCTACATATCTAACAAACCTGCATGTCCTGCACATGTGTCCAGGAACTTTGAATTTTTTTTTTTTTTTTTTTTTTGAGACGGAGTTTCGCTCTTGTTACCCAGGCTGGAGTGCAATGGCACGATCTCGGCTCACCGCAACCTCCGCCTCCTGGGCTCAGGCAATTCTCCTGCCTCAGCCTCCTGAGTAGCTGGGATTACAGGCATGAGCCACCATGCCCAGCTAATTTTTTTGTATTTTTAGTAGAGACGGGGTTTCACCATGTTGACCAGGATGGTCTCGATCTCTCGACCTCGTGATCCACCCGCCTCGGCCTCCCAAAGTGCTGGGATTACAGGCTTGAGCCACCGTGCCCGGCCCTGAATTTTTTTTTTTTAATTAAATTTTAAGTTTGACTCTAGAAAGGTTTTCCAATATAGGAACGTGTTCAGGATTATACAAGAATTATGACACAACAATTCAGGATTGATGAAAACAGCAAGGTGAGTCAAGAGATTCAGTAAATCTGAGCACAAATGTTTGTTGAATTTTCCATCAAAGAGTGGAAGGAACTTTGGGGGTAGTTCCCATAAGGATCAGTGAAGCCATTTGGTTTGGTGGAAGAGCCATAGAAGAGGAAAGAGCTGCTAAGACAGACAGTGGAACAGCAAAGTCATATTTATGGAGATGGTAAGGTATGGTTTGGAGTCCTAGGGAACAGGGGTAAGCAGTTTTGGTTCTCTCTCTTTAGGGAGGTTTGTTAAGGATAATATGAGAAGGGAAAGAAGGGGTACAGTTGTGGTTAACTGAATTCATCTTTCTCCCTCCTTGCTTACAAACCAGTTCTAATGTCTAGACAAAGCCTATGATGACTCAGCAATGATACTGTGCTAAATAATGTATCTCTGTTAGCTAACTCACATATAGTTGCTTCACTGCATGGGCTCTCAGTGCACTAAAGCATAGGTAGTAAAAGAAGAAAGTCTATTGACAAAGTCAAGATATCCTCCAGGTCAAGGCTAAAAGTATCATAGTTTAATTCAAAACTCACACAAATGCATTTGTAAATAAATGCTGTCAGATGATATTGTAATGGATAGTGCATACTTTTAAATTAATTTTCTTTTGATGTGATAAAAACATCTTATGAAAGAGATGTTGAAGCCTGGTTTTTTATATAAAGTAACGTAATTTAGATATTAAAGTAAAAAACCTTTTGTTGATAGTAGTTGATTTAATTCAGTGCATGTACCAAGCATTATTTGCTGTAGGTTATAAATTAGATTTGAACCAGCTATAATTTGTAAAGCGTTACTTATGACTGATTTATAGAAAATCTCATTAATTCCAATAGCACAAAGACCTTGAAGTAAGCAAGAAGTAGAAAATAAAACAGCCTGGAGAGTAAGAAAGAATAAATGCATATACCTTATAATTAATAGTAATATATCATTGTTACATATGTTTTACTGATAGTATGTTCCTGATTATATCTAGTAATCCCTACCACAAATTTCAATAAGAGATATTATTGTTGCTCCTATCTTTTAAAAGAGGAAGAAACTGAGTGTCCCATCACTTTATTTTGAATATCTTTGACTATTATATATTATTTCCTATGAGCCAGTAACTTTACATTACATGACAGTCCTAAGAAAAGCCTTTTGAGTAGATAATAGTGTTCTTTCACAGTTGGGGAATGTATAGGGATATCAAGTAACTATCAATTTTAAGGTCATTGAGGTTCAAACAGGGATATGATCTCAAAAAGTCTCACATTAAACCCTTTTCTCCTGACCACCGAGCATGGTTGCCTTTACAGCATCATAGTTTAAAAAGAAAAAGGTAGCAAGCGGCAGACTAAGGAATTATCTTTACTTCTGTGCTATTTCCAGTCAACCAGTTATTTCTACCTGTTTTGCCCGAGACCCTAGGATTCTGGGGAGGGCTACAGAATAGGGAATGGGAGAAAGAATGGAGGAGCAGGACCCTGGGACCGAAGCCCTGAAAATGTTAATTTGTTTATATATCAGGGATTTTGCATGCTATGCTATTTTATGCCCAATAACCTTAATAACATATGCCCTTTCTCCCTGAAACCTGTAACTGTTTCAGGGAAAGAGGGCATATGTGAAACTACACTTAATCACTCAAATGATAAATTTTCAATGGTCATGATTACTGGAAATTTAGATAGCTTTCTATTGATAATGGAAATATAAAAGAGTCATTTAAGTCCATATTTAAATTTACAATGAGGATAACTCTGTCTGACTTAGGATGTGAAACCTACCAACCACACTGTTGTCATGATATAAATGGGACAGGGGAGTAATCCTATAAAAGCTATTAACAGGATTGACATGATGAGCCAGGCCCTGTTGCTTAGTGATTGTTTTAGAATGCAGGTATTATTGTTATTTAGCTAGAGTGAAGCAACGGAGCAGGAGATGGCAGCCAATTAAAAAGTGAGGGGCCAGGTGTGATGGCTCATGCCTGTAATCCCAGCACTTTGGGCAGTCAAAGCAGGCATATTGCCTGAGGTCAGGAGTTTGAAACCAGTCTGACCAACATGCTGAAACCCCATCTCTACTAAAAGTAAAAAATAATTAGCCAGAGGTGGCGGCATGTGCCCGTAATGCCAGCTACTCGTAATGCCACCTACTCCGGAGGCTGAGGCACAGGAATCGCTTGAACCAGGGAAGCAAGGTTGCAGTGAGCTGAGATCATGCTATGGCACTCCAGCCTGAGCAACAGGGCAAGACTCCATCTCAAAAAAAAAAAAAAAAAAGAAAGTGATGATTTTGCCCACAGCTCACAGGAGGAGGGGGCATGACACAGCATGAGGAGCCCACATTGGGAAGCAGCAGGGTCAGCAAGTATGGAGCGGCCAGACGAAAATGTGGGCAAGAGCCTTTATTGCAGTTTTAGGGAAAGGCTGGGTAAGCAGGCTTATGATTGGCTAGTTTTTGAACAATCTGAGCAGTCTCTGGGACCTAAGGGCTGTCTCTTGTTACCTGGTTAAGTGGACGTGGGGTGATTAGGGAAAGGGAATGGTGGTCTCAGTGTAAGAGTCCTGGGAGAACCTGAGAAGGTGACTGGGGTTTGACCTTTGAATTGGCTGGTTTGCATATGAAAGTCACGCTTATAGGAAAGTCCTTCACTATTGAAAAATATTTTGCATTTACCTTTATTCTCATAGCAACATTTTTATGTTATATCTGAGATCATATCTTCTGGGACTAGTCTGATGAACATCTGAGCCCTGATTGATTTATACTAACATGTGACTTCTTGAATGTCACTTCTATAGTTCTTCATTTTGAAAATGAGAAGAGTGACAATTTCTGCTTCAGAGAAGTGTCGTAAAGATGACACAAGATTGCAACTAGCTTCACAGGCCTACATCCTGTGCAGCCGCAAAGAAATCATTATTTAGATGGACCCACACTTCGTTTAATGGACTTTTGTTACTGATTTGAAATTATTAATTTTATAAGATTTCCTACATTTTTATCTTGCACTGAAAACCACAAATTCTGTAGCCATTTCTAGACAGGCTTGTTTGTAAAGTCTATAGTCCATGGTGTTTGGTACATAGAATAACCTTCAATATAATATGTCAGCTATTACTACTTTTGCAAAGGAGCTTTTAGTTTGTCTGACATAGCCCCAAAGTCCTATTTAAACTTTTTCAATCTGCTGTGGACATTGAAGCTATCGTAGAGTATGCATCATATGTCCTCATGAATTTGGGCCACATTTGATTGGCCAACAATACTTTATGGTCCTCTACCTCATTGGTCCCTTACTCTGTGGTTATATATCTCATGGAAAGTGGTCTTTGGACAGCTCCTAATTTGGAGTAAAGGTACATTTGCCTCTAAATATGAACCACATAATAAAGAACATTAGATTTGTTTTTGTCTGACAAATGATGGCTTTACCTATACACTATATCGCTGACATTACTCCAGAAAGACACTAAGAGTAAATCTAATCTAATAATCTTTTTTGGCTTTTATTTGCAGACTGCTTGAATTCCAGAAGGACCAGCACCAGATAAATTATGAATGTTGAACAAGATGACCTTACATCCACAGCAGATAATGATAGGTCCTAGGTTTAACAGGGCCTTATTTGACCCCCTGCTTGTGGCGCTGCTGGCTCTTCAACTTCTTGTGGTGGCTGGCCTGGTGCGGGCTCAGACCTGCCCTTCTGTGTGCTCCTGTAGCAACCAATTCAGCAAGGTGATTTGCGTTCGGAAAAACCTGCGTGAGGTTCCGGATGGCATCTCCACCAACACACGGCTGCTGAATCTCCATGAGAACCAAATCCAGATCATTAAAGTAAACAGCTTCAAGCACTTGAGGCACTTGGAAATCCTACAGTTGAGTAGGAACCATATCAGAACCATTGAAATTGGGGCTTTCAATGGTCTGGCGAACCTTAATACTCTGGAACTCTTTGACAATCGTCTTACTACCATCCCGAATGGAGCTTTTGTATACTTGTCTAAACTGAAGGAGCTCTGGTTGCGAAACAACCCAATTGAAAGCATCCCTTCTTATGCTTTTAACAGAATTCCTTCTTTGCGCCGACTAGACTTAGGAGAATTGAAAAGACTTTCATACATCTCAGAAGGTGCCTTTGAAGGTCTGTCCAACTTGAGGTATTTGAACCTTGCCATGTGCAACCTTCGGGAAATCCCTAACCTCACGCCGCTCATAAAACTAGATGAGCTGGATCTTTCTGGGAATCATTTATCTGCCATCAGGCCTGGCTCTTTCCAGGGTTTGATGCACCTTCAAAAACTGTGGATGATACAGTCCCAGATTCAAGTGATTGAACGGAATGCCTTTGACAACCTTCAGTCACTAGTGGAGATCAACCTGGCACACAATAATCTAACATTACTGCCTCATGACCTCTTCACTCCCTTGCATCATCTAGAGCGGATACATCTACATCATAACCCTTGGAACTGTAACTGTGACATACTGTGGCTCAGCTGGTGGATAAAAGACATGGCCCCCTCCAACACAGCTTGTTGTGCCCGGTGTAACACTCCTCCCAATCTAAAGGGGAGGTACATTGGAGAGCTCGACCAGAATTATTTCACATGCTATGCTCCAGTGATTGTGGAGCCCCCTGCAGACCTCAATGTCACTGAAGGCATGGCAGCTGAGTTGAAATGTCGGGCCTCCACCTCCCTGACATCTGTATCTTGGATTACTCCAAATGGAACAGTCATGACACATGGAGCATACAAAGTGAGGATAGCTGTGCTCAGTGATGGTACGTTAAATTTCACAAACGTAACTGTGCAAGATACAGGCATGTACACATGTATGGTGAGTAATTCCGTTGGGAATACTACCGCTTCAGCCACCCTGAATGTTACTGCGGCAACCACTACTCCTTTCTCTTACTTTTCAACCGTCACAGTAGAGACTATGGAACCGTCTCAGGATGAGGCACGGACCACAGATAACAATGTGGGTCCCACTCCAGTGGTTGACTGGGAGACCACCAATGTGACCACCTCTCTCACGCCACAGAGCACAAGGTCGACAGAGAAAACCTTCACCATCCCAGTGACTGATATAAACAGTGGGATCCCAGGAATCGATGAGGTCATGAAGACTACCAAAATCATCATTGGGTGTTTTGTGGCCATCACACTCATGGCTGCAGTGATGCTGGTCATTTTCTACAAGATGAGGAAGCAGCACCATCGGCAAAACCATCATGCCCCAACAAGGACTGTTGAAATCATTAATGTGGATGATGAGATTACGGGAGACACACCCATGGAAAGCCACCTGCCCATGCCTGCTATCGAGCATGAGCACCTAAATCACTATAACTCATACAAATCTCCCTTCAACCACACAACAACAGTTAACACAATAAATTCAATACACAGTTCAGTGCATGAACCGTTATTGATCCGAATGAACTCTAAAGACAATGTACAAGAGACTCAAATCTAAAACATTTACAGAGTTACATACAACAATCAAAAAAAGACAGTTTATTAAAAATGACACAAATGACTGGGCTAAATCTACTGTTTCAAAAAAGTGTCTTTACAAAAAAACAAAAAAGAAATTTATTTATTAAAAATTCTATTGTGATCTAAAGCAGACAAAATTATGTGTATTCCTCAGAACCTGTTTTTGCTGCACTGACTCACTATTCTCCCACATCTCGTTCCTCCCTTCCCCAATATCCATATTTTTCATAGGAGATCTCAATTCCTTAAAGAACTGGTCTAGGAAATTTTGTAAAAATTCTGTTACACTTTGAGATTTTTATGGTGAATTCTAGTGGTGAGATCCAGTCTATTTTGTCTCTCTATTTTTAATTTTTTTTTTCTTTTTCCCTCATACCCATATGAAGTAATCCAATGGGGAATGCAATATTAGAAATAGATTTTTAAGAGAGAACAAGGAAAAAAATGCAAGATCTTATATTTTTCATGTAATGACCTGATCTGTATTTATGAGGAAGACCATTCTATGGAAAAGAAAAGAAAGTGAGCAAACAACAGATTTACATATAAGCATCTATAAAACCCATGACTTTTAAAAAACTCTAGAACCAGAATTTGTAGTTAAAAAGCTAAAAATAAGATTATAAATAAAATACTGTTGGTTTTTCTGTACCTGGACACAACTCATTTGTAGTATGGCTCAAATGTGAGAAACTTCAAGATAATTAGATTTTCTGCTTTCTAAGAAAGAAAATACTACAGTATTCTTTAGTCACAAAATCAACTTCTACAGGGTCCTGTCTGACTAGTTGACTTGAGTTTTAGATCTATGTTTAAGGATGCTGTGGTATTTTTTCCTTCTCTTTAGGGTTACTCTTTGTAGAATGCTCAGGTTCAAAAATAATGACTTTGTGAAGTAAATTCAATTCTACTTGAAGGAAAGTTTCAATATAATTTATTCACTGTCTCCTCAATAAAATTTCACTGGCCAGATGAACTATAATAGCAAAACAGGAAAGTATTCTAAGTCATCTAGAGCTGAAAAAGAATATTTGGTGCTGAGTGTTAAAAAATTTAGTTCAATTCAATGGTAATTATTAAAGCCCTGCTGTGTGCAAAATATTGATTTTAGTATTGTGGGTGCACAATTGAGAAGATCTGGTTCCTGCTCTTGCATCACTCCCAATCTATATAAAAATAATTAAAGAAATCATCTAGTATATTACTGGTTGCCAGCTCTAATTTTACTTCTAGGTGAAAGGCTGTGAATCAGAACCTTACATTTTCAAAATATTAGATTACTGTTATTATAGTAAGCTCTTGGATTTATGGTTTCTTCCATCCTTCTGGAAGAGGTGACTTTTTCTAAATGCAGACTGCAGAGCTTTAAGGAAGTGTAGGTTTAGATTTGTTCTGAAGGATGAATACATACCACGAGATGGCAATGCTAATTCAGTAGTAATTTGTTAATGGCATTTTTTAAGGAACTGGGGGCATTTTGGCTAAGAGACCATACGCTAGCTTCCAAGCAAAAAAGGAACTTGCTGGTTGTTGCACCTTGGCATTCTTCTTATATTTTAACATACTATGTATATGACTTCTATCTTTATGTAAAACAAGTGAATATATACAGATCTCATTACTGACCTTGAAACCTGCCACCTTGGTGGTGAAATAAGGACTGACCAAGCTGAAGAAAACTTCAATTCCTAATGGCTAAGAAGCTTGGATACTCACACTTAACTCTGCAGGCTGACCTTACTCCATGGTTTTGTGGTCTCCAGGTGTGAAAAATCAATTATTACTAGCAAAACAGGTCAGATAATTGGGGAAAAAAGGACAGGAAATGAATGACAGCATGCAAGAATCTTGCTTCTGTTTTTTTTGATCACTAATTATCTGGCTTTTTTCTTCCATCTTACCTCCCTTTGTTAGGAACACAATTCACACTTGCTTTCATTGGGGAGAAGACTCAAGGAAAGGGAAAACATTTGGCTATTGTTTGTCAAGTTATTCGGTATTGAGTATACTTAACATATTCCCAGCCTGCGATCACAAAACAAAACAAGCAACAACATAAAAAACACCAACAAATATGTCTAATAAAAAGCAAGTGCTAGTACAAACAAAAGTGATATAAATCCAAAGGGAAAATGATCCTCCTTTCTAGACTTGGCTTGCATCCACCAAATTCTGTCTTTGCTGACTCTGAAGCTTCTTTCATTTTAAGCTTATAATTCTTATAGGTTTAGTCCAAGTATGCAATTACCCTTGGCTGTGAGAGGTGGCTGAGCAGTTAGACAAATGCTACTAAATAGGATGAAAGGTGAACTTGCACTTAAAAAGTTAGGTTGGAATCCAAAGCATACAATTCAGTCTCCTAGGAGATCACAGTATAGTACTAATGAATATATTTTGGGAAAAAATTTGACACAACGTTTAAATAAACCAGACTGATTTCTATAATAAATTTAGAAACACTTTTGACCAAAAGTCCTCACTGCAGGTTTTGGGGATAAAGGGTAGAGTGCTATAAATCTACCATTTAAAGAAAACTCAAATGTATTCCAGATATTTCTGATTAACAACAAGCCTCTATTTTCCCTGCATAACATATTTGGTCCTTGTCCCATCAGAACAGTAGCTGCACTGGTATGTCAGAGACCACTACGCACTTGAATTTACTTGGTTTAGCAGGAAGCCTATGTGACTGTTTAAATGTTCGCTATATTGTTGTACCAAAATACAATTCTGTGTCTACTGCTCATTTTATTCTATCCAAAGGCAACTGGGTGGCAGTATTATGAAATATGTACACCAAAAAATACACCATTTACAATTCACCAAGTTAAAGTAACCCAATGATAATATTTCTCTCTCTCTCTCTCTCTGTGTGTGTGTGTCGGTGTGTGTGTGTGTGTGTGCGCGTGCGCGCGTTTCTATCTCCTACTAATAGTATGCAGTTTGCTTCCCTAAACATCAAAGATGCTTTAGAAAGAAGATTCTCTAACATCTGCTTCTATTCAGGAATTTTACTCTTCTACATCTGGTCATGACCTTAATCTCGAACACTCTTTTGAAAAGTATACAGATGCATTTGCATTAGCAAAATAATAGAAGGATTTGGTTTAGCTCACACACACAGACCCAGATATAACTTTAATAATTTCCTCTCATATTTCAAATATTCTGAAATAATGTATCATCTTTTTCAATGACTGAAACAAGTTATTTGCACATGTTAGAGTGATAAATATTTACATAGCAGAAAGAAAAAGAAGGCAGCAAGAAGGCACATTAAGAATAGCCTTCACTGAAACATGAAAACGTATTAAGTAGATGGCCCCAGAGTATCCAACATTTTTAAGGTAAAGATTGATCAAGGCGAAAAAAAAAAAAAAAAAAAACAACTTCAATATCTTATCCTTTTGGAATAATCTTCAAGATATTTAGATAAAGTAGAAGAGTTAGATGAGTGCTAACAAATAAATGTGATACTCTAAAGCAATGTAATTTTAAAATATTGTGTTCAATCACTTGGTGCTTCAGCTTGTTTTAATAAGAATCTTGAAAATAATGATATCATGAACTATCACAGACATAGCATGTGAATGCCTGGGTAAGCAGTCACACTCCGCTAAGAAGCTGTTTGTCTGTTTCTCTTAAAAATAGTAGCATATAATCAAATCTCTTATCAAAATATATTCTCAAATTACATATGCATCTTTATATTTGATTAGAATGTGATTCTGTACAACAGCTACTTCTGATAAAAATGAGTCTAAAAAGTTACCTTCCAAAAATCAAAGTCCCTGTGATTCTTTCTCTTCTTTTGCAAGAAGAAATATGGATTCCTAAAAGCCCTGTACATATTAGATAGGAAGCAGCTGGGACACTACTCTCTTCTCATGCTCCATCAGGATACAGAACAAGATACATCTGGCTGTATGAGAGAAAAAAGAAATCTTCTAGAATTAATGTAGCACACTGTCAATTAGGATCCAAATTTAGATACTGAATGAAGCATTCTCAAAACACATACCAGTTCACATCCTTCTGTTTCTTAAACTGCTGCCAACAGAACTTCCGAAATTTCAACCTTGAGAAAACTATATAAATTATATGTAAAATTATATAATTAAATTTTATAATATGTTTAGCAGTAAAATGTAAAACTGCTGTTCATTTTTTGTTTTTCCCAGGATTTAAAAAAGAACCAACAAAAAACGAAAAACAGAGAGGAACTTGCTGCAAGACAGACAATAAATGAAGCTATTTTAATGAAAGCACATGATACTGGAAAAATCTTTGTAAATTTTTTTTCTATGCACAAAATGAGCACATCTATCTGTCCCTTGCACAAAATACAGAAAGGAAGGGCTCATGAAAATCAGACTATGAAGTCTTATTTTTCATTATTTGGCCTAGTAATTTAATTTCATTTTCCAGATTATTAATGCTTCACTTTATTATATATTTAATGCTTAATTGCTGAATTTGACTTGTCGAAATGGCATGAATCCTGCCTTTATCTCATTGCCAGAATAGTGAATATAGATGAAAGGGAAGATTCAATGTTGTTTGAAGGACAGGGGCTGATCTGTGTGGTGGCAGAAGAACACATTCTGATTGATGTCCTAACCTTGAAAACTTGCCAGAACATCCACCTTGACCAACCCTAGCTCAGCTATCATGGTGGAAACCCATTATGGGCACCCTTAGCAACTATTTTGCCTATATATTACTACATCTACTGAATGGCAATTAGTTAACCCCCTTACTTCTTCAGCCCTTACTTCCACATTGAAAGAGGTAAAAAGTCGAGCTCACCAACTGCTATTTAAGCACATTTGCTAGTTTTGTAAAGTGTATATATAGACTTCTAACAGCAATATATGAAACCTCAAATATATTAAAATATGCACAAAATAAAGATATGATACATACTTTTTATGCTAGTTACTATAAAATTTTAATCAAAAAACTTGTAATACCAGGGAAATCTCAGGTTTTACTAATGGAATTATCATGAAAAATATTAATCTTAATACAATTTGTAAAATGCCTTAAAAGCTAGATGCTGAAATGGACTTCCAGCTCCTGTAGGTACTTCTATTAAAATAATCATAATAATGTTTTACAAAATGAGAAAAGTAATATAGTTTCTCTTTCCAGTTGCCCTGAAGCAGACTAACTGATGCTTGTAAAGATGTTTATCAGCATAAATGGATTGTTAGAGAATGAACTTCAGTTAATTCTGACCTTAAAAAAAAAG